ATCGTTTAAAATGCTCGATGGTGCTATAGGTATCTAGTTATAGTATAGTGTAGTATAGCCAAAGAATATATACACTACGCGAAAAGAAACGACACTTAAGCATGTGTGCACGTAAAATCGCTTGCGGCTATGTGTGGATGTCTGGATGTGTGCGGGGGCCTTGAGAGGCGCGCGGGGCATGGAACGGGCAGTCGCCGACTGCCCTGGCCGAGGGCTAGTAGTAAAACCGATTTTTGTCAGTATTAGTTAATATGAATATATTCGTCAAGTGATATTATAATATTTCTATTAATATATGAATATTACTGATATCTTAATGTACATATTACTATTCTGTTCATGTAGGTATTAAGTTTATGTTACCAAGTAACGTTATTAGTTTTTATAGCCGGTTTATATGCTTTGATAAATATTAATGTTGTTATTAAATAAATGATATTATAGTATATGTATAAGTATTACCGAAAGTGATTTTAAGTGATTAGAATTAAAATAAATTCCACTGCACAAAACAAGGGCCCTTGTTTTGTTAGTTTAATTTTTAATAATGTTCTATGATACCTAAAAACATGTGAACTCATTTTAAAAACCATAAAACATGTAGTTTTCGATGCGAAACGCATATGCCCTCTTAAAACTGCTCAGGGAAGTGTATGGTCTATTCACTTCATTTGAAATTAAGTGATAGTACCCTAATAGTTAAAATGAGGATTGCAAACTCAAGAAAGTAGTGAGTTCAAATCTGCCATTTGGCTATTGAAATTACTCCTAGTGCAAGCATTTTCAGTAAAGTTTTTGTAATGTTAATAGTAATGCTGGTAGTTTAAAGTTAAAATATGAATGTAGGTTTATTAGGATTGTATTTTGAAAGCCCAAACTTGAAAATACCTCTGTCAGGGTTACAAGAGTCTGGATCTACTGCTTTTAAAATTTTATCTGTTATTGTCATGCAGACTCCTACTTACTTGACACTCACAACATTTTAAATTTAAAGAATTATGTCCATATACTAAGCGCATGCAGAAAGTTTGCTGATGACATCATGTTACTTATCGGATTAGTAAAACTTAACAAGAAAACGGTGAATAATGTTGAAGAGAGAGCAATAAATTCAAAGACGTTGCACACGTTAGCGCACGACTGTGTTATTGACTAACTAGGCGAGCGCAGGACACGGTCAGCGGAGGCGAGATGGCTACCCATCTCATCACAAGCAAACTGCGCGCGGCTAATAGCTTGCAGAACTATCATCAAATGGGAAAACATAATTCTCGAGTGGTAGCCTCTGGTAAGCAAATTGTAGCGTGCCCCCCCCCCCCCATTAGATAGTGGCAATCTGGTAAGACAAGAAGTTGATGGATGTAGGTAGCTCAAGACTGTGTTGTTGCAGTGATGATGATTCACTAGGTGGTAGGACTTTTCTCTGTCTGAAGATGCGGCAGCCGCTTACCATCAGGTGGATTGTAAGTTTAATTGTTAATTCAATGTTCCAAAAAAATGAGATGTTGAAGAAGAGAGTTGTGGTGACCAATATATTAACAAAAATGTATATTTAAATAGTTTTCCATATTTATGACAAACTTTCATATTTTCAGATGGATGAAGATGAGGAGCCCATAATTGTCTGTTTCATCTGTCATGCAAGACTCATTCGATGCAGAACATTACAACAACAGGCTATTGAGTCAAATGCAGTTCTAGAGCAGTTGCTTGCAGGAGGCTCCAAGGTATTATCCATTCCATCCATTTAAACCTATAAAATTCTGTCATAGATCGCTTCATAGGAGGGATTTTGCCAATTTTGCAATGCTTGACTGGTTGTCAACTGCAGTATATATTAGTCTGCATTGTTATCAGGAAGATGCTGCTGCCCTACTCCTGTTTCTGTTTCCCTCTGTCGCCTCTTACGACACCCGTCCCGTGGGTAGGTATATAGAGGGTAGTGGATATCCTTAAACCATCAATACAAGGTCCGCAGAATAATACTTTCCTTATTAATAAAAGTTCACTGCTTGATGGGTCATTCCCATTATTATGAAATATTTGCCTTAATCGTCACTTTGCAGGCATTTTAATGATCGCTATAATGTTGGCTTGTAAACACAAATCTATACCAGCTATCATAAATCATGTGTCATAATCTACTACACGTTATTTTAATATAGTAGAACGATATATTTCTGTATTTTTTCAAGGAGTCCCTAGTAACACCTGTTCACAAGAGTGGAGAGGAGAAGGATATCAACAACTACAGACCAATTTCCCTAAAAAGCTATAGATATTCAAAAGCTTTAAAAAAACTTATCAACAAGAGGCTCATAAGTTTCCTCAATAAGTTTCACATCTTATCCAGTTTGGTTTTCGAGCAGGAAATTCGATTGAAGACGCTGTAGAAGCCCTAACATCTGTAGTTGTTGATAGTCTTTATAAAAATTCAAATTGCCTCGCGGTGTTTCTTGCTTTTAAAAAGGCATTTGACGTCGTGTACCTCCATCCTGTTGCAGAAATTAGAAAATTGTGGGATTCGAGATGTGCTCAAGGAGACTATTACGCACACACTACACCTTCACTACGTACACACACACACTACACACACTATTTCTACTTTCTAAATTTGAAATAAAAAATGTTGGTTACACTCAGCGTTAAGTTTAGTATATACGGTTCTTGCTTTAGTAAATTTTATGATACGGAACAGGGGTTTACTTCTGATACGGGCGCATTTCGCGTCCAAAAGAAGAAGTCTAACATATGGTTTTGTTGTTTTTAGCAGTTTCATAAAAATGCATCTGTCTTGATCTGTCACCACTCTTCAGTTTCATATTCAGTGCCGTCGAGGACGTGTTTAACAAAGCACACAGAAGGCATACTACGGCTAGATAGATTGTATTGCATATCAACAATTGCATACCTTCGGTGCCTTTGAAAAAAGCTGTTTGGGTTTGCTTGAGCGAAAGAAAAAGATATTTACATACAATACTATACATGAACAATGTACAAACTATGTACAAAATTAAAAAAAAAAAAAAAAAATTATTTATATTCTGAATCGAATAGTATCTCTTTCTTAAGGAAAGATTTGATTACGTCCGCGTAAAATGTTGGTGAACGTTTTAATTGTACCAATAACTGTTTTTCAATTGCGATAATTGATAAGTCCGAAAGACGTTCTTGGCCTTTTAAAGATTTTACGTTTTCGTCGCAGAATAGCATTTTAACACACAATTCATCACAAGGAACACTATTATGCTCCATTTTATGACCTTGCAAACGTATCTCCCGCGCGCTCCCGCACTCGACGACTTCAACTTCGACAACTTCTTCAACAACAACTTCGAAAGCCGGGCTTTTTGTTGCATACTAATTTTCTATAAGTATAAACATTTCGTAGTTATTATATTATATTTAATTATAAAACATTTTGTCACAGGTTAGAAAAAGAGCGATCGTTTTCTCGAAAGCCCGGTAAAAAGCCCACGCTTGTGAGAGAGACGACTAATCGCTCAAATCAACTCCTTGCTTTCATTAATTTTGACAGTCCATTGCGTGTTCGCTTTGAGACAGAAACAACACGAATCAGTGTATTTCGAATTGAAAGCAAACTGCCAAGTGTTTACGTTACATAATAGGTTAATCTGACAACAAAAAATAAGGACGAAGGGTTTGTGCCCGTGTCTTATAAAAAGAAAAATAGGAATAGGCAGGGTAGGGCGGCCGTGCAACCACTAGGAGATTCGCTTATCCGAGCTGCTCCGAGATCTCTTTGCTTATATGTATCACGTTTAGACGTTTCAACGACTGCTGATAAGCTCGAGGAGTATATTAAGTGTAAAGGTGAACAAGCGATAAGTGTTGAACGTATTGAACCTTTTAAAGTGACTAACTTTGCTTTTTTTAAGGTAAGGGTGAATTTTGACAGAAAACATATTTTTATGAATGAGGACTTCTGGCCTGTAAGCATAGTGTTTAGACATTTCTGGCAAAGTAATTCCATAAGACATGAAGTTCGTTAGTTTTAATTGTCAGTCAATTAAGAGAAGTGTTGATCATGTTAGAGAACTGTGTAAAGAGTTTGATGTGGTGGCTCTTCAAGAGACCTGGCTGCTTCCCCATGAGCTATCTTTTTTGTCAACAATTCATACCGAGTTCTCTTCTCATGGTACCTCTGCGGTCGATTCTTCATCCGGAATATTAAAAGGGAGACCATATGGAGGTGTGGCCCTCTTGTGGAGAACTGCGTTATTAAAAGATGTAAATGTAACGAGCGAATTTTGTATAAATGTATATTAATGGGAATTGTCATATGTATTTTTCTGTTTATATGCCTCAAAACCATCTTGAAAATTTACCTGAATTTACAAATATTTTATGTATAATCAAAAGTTTATAATTAAATGTGGTTTTTTTTATTTTAGATTAAATTTTTTAAAGATTTTGAAAATATTTTTACATACATTAGTTATGCTCATGGCACAAAGAGCTGGCTTGATCATTGCATCGTAACTCGGGTCGCGTGGTCGGCGTTATCAAGAGTATATGTAATAAATGATGTATTTTGGTCGGACCACTGGCCTCTCGCATTCGAATTTAATTTTAACATAATTGCTGTTGAGAGAATTGTGGTTAATCACGTTAAATCTAGGAACCTTATTTCTTGGAGTAAGAGAAGTGGGGATGAGATTAAAGAGTATGAGTGGTGGTGTAGTTATCTCTTATCAGAATTTAATTGGGACTATCTGCGCTTAATTTCTTCTTGCGATGGCTGTACTTGTGACTCACACAAAGGTTTTCTCGTTAGAATTTATAAGAAATTTATCGAAAGTCTTCATACATCCGCTATTAAAAGCCACGTAAGTCAAGTAGGGTATGGAGTGACATCGCGTAAACGTAAAGGCACGCCGGGCTGGAATGATGTAGTAAAATCAGCGTATGTGGATGCTAAAGTAAACTTATCAAGGTGGACCGGGGCGGGGGCTCCCAGCTCTGGTTCTCTCTATGATATGATGAAGCAAAGTAGGTCTATATTTAAAGGTCGCTTAAAGTGGTGCCAGAAAAACGAAAGTAAAATTTTATTGGAACGGATAAGCAACGCATGTATAGACAAAAACTTTTCTAAATTTTGGCAACATACATCAAAACTATGCAAAATAAGGGTTGGAGTTCCGGTATGCGTGGATGGTGTTAGCGATAAAAAACAGATAGCTAATAATTTTAAACGGAACTTTTTGTTGAATGACGGCTATTCTAGTGGTGGACCTTCTGCGATAGATACATTTGATATGCCTGTTTTATCATATACTCATATTGATGAGAGTATGGTGTATAATGCCCTTAAAAAGATGCACCTTGGTAAAGCGTGTGGTCATGACCACATTTCGGTAGAACATTTACGTTGCGGTGGACCCTGGGTTGTGGTGTTTCTCTCGGTTTTTATTAACGCGTGTTTAAAACACTCATTTTTGCCTCCTGACCTAATAAAATGCGTGGTTAGCCCTATTGTCAAAAGTAAAACCGTTAGCGATACGATCAGTTCCAATTATAGGCCTATCTCAATCGCTACAACCTGTGCGAAACTATTTGAGTCTATTATTCTGGATATTTTATCGAAATTTATTTTTATAAGTGATGCTCAGTTTGGTTTTAAAAAAAGTAGCTCTACTGAGTTGGCAATTTTTTCCTTAAAACAAATAGTAACGTATTACGTGTCACGAAGAACAAAAGTATACGCTTGTTTTTTGGACTTGAGTCGCACCTTCGATAGGGTAAACTATAGCATCCTGTGGGATAAGTTAAAACTTGTGGGTGTTCCTTATGACATAATTAGAATCCTTATTAATTGGTATAAAACGCAGGTTAATGTAGTGAACTGGGATGGCTCGCTCTCGGACGAGTTTGTACTGACTAGTGGGGTTAGGCAGGGTGGGCTGACTTCTCCTCTGCTGTTTAACCTTTACGTTAACGCTCTAATTTAGGAGCTCAATAAAACGGGTATCGGCTGTCATGTAGGTGGGAAATGTGTAAACAACCTTAGTTACGCAGACGATATGGTTTTATTGAGCCCCTCAATCGGAGCCTTAAGGAAGTTAATTTCTATTTGTGAGAGATATGCAGCAAGCCACGATTTAGTTTATAATGCAGACAAGTCTGTGGCAATGGTCTTTGGAGCGCATAGTAAAGATGTTTGTTTACCATTGGACCTGAACGGCAAAAATTTGAAGTTTGTGACGAGCTTTCGATATTTAGGACATATCGTATCGAGTGACCTGAGGGATGATTAGGACATGGACAGAGAAAGGCGGTCCCTTGCTGTACGTGCAAATATGATTAACAGGAAATTTAATTAATGCAAGCGAGATTCTAAAATATTACTATTTAAAACCTATTGCCAATCGCTTTACACACCGCATCTCTGGACTAAATTTAAAAAGGAAAACTATCGAATTTTTAAGGTTCAATATAACGATTCGTTCCGAATATTGTTTCGTTTTCCGAGGTACTGTAGTGCATCTACAATGTTCGCTGAGGCACGCGTACCGACGCTCGATGCTTTGATAAGACATCGTGTGGCCAGATTTAGAAGTAATCTTCTCAAATCTGGAAACACGGTTATACTAATTTTAACGCAAAATTGTAGTGAAATATTTAAATATTGGTCTAGTATGTTAAGATGTAAGTTTTAATTTGTTTGATGGCATTTATTTAATTTATATTTATTTTTGTATTTCATTTTATTTCAATTTTTTTAAGTTTGTTGATTATAATAATTATGTTTCTTTTTTACGGGCCTTTGTGGTCTGTCAATAAATAATAATAATAATTATTATTATTATTATTAATAAGGCTACGAGGTCATGACCTATGTAGAACATAGGAGCGCGCGGGAAATTTGAAATAGTTTGAAACAGTTTACGAGTTATTTTATCAGTTGATATTATTGATTGAGCAGTTTGAAACTTACTTTATTGTAAGAGCAATGTTCTGTATTTTATGAATTACAGTCAATGAAGAACTCATTTTTACAAAAATAATCATCAAACTGTTATGTATTACTCTATTATATATAAACAAAATATTAGGTATCTATAGGTGATTAATATAATTAGTAAAGTTTTGTCAATTTACAGTATTTGTGAATCTAACTGGAAAAATTATTGAGACTCGATTCTAATTACATTTCTAAACTATCTACATTCTTATTTAAATTTATTGGGAACTCTCACTTTTGTCCGGTTTTTATTTTTGTTTGGAGTTATTGTCAGGAAGATGCTGCTGCATCTGTAGGATGGTATGGGGTCGTATGGGTTCTCCTACACCACTACTACACTGGCTTTTTCTCTTATTAAAAAAAGAGTTTGGTTTCAGTCAATACCAAAACTGCATGAGGCTAGAGATGAGATTCAATTCACACCAATTAATCATATAGATATCCGGCCAGTAGAGTGTGCTATAGAAAATGATTGTAAGGACGACATTTTTAGCCTTGAATCTGTTAAAGTTGAGGAAGATAAAATCGAAAATGAGAATTTCAAATTTGAAGTAAACTGGAGTCATGAAACAGGTAAAATATAAATATTTTGTGATATTATTAAATTAAGAAATAAATTACCTAATGGCAAGTGGTTACTGTAGCCCATGGACACAAAATATAGAGGACTTTGTGTGCAATCTACAGATTTACTGATTTGCCTTTGCCTAAATTCAAAGTGCATCTAAAAAGCACGCTCATGGAGAAAGAAAAGCATACATGGACATCATAATGAGCATTGTTAGACATTTTCTTTTACTTATGTATAAATATATTTATAAATATTTTGACCCTGTATAAATGCATCCAGTATGTATGTACACTAAGATGTATTAACTTCATAGGAATTAATGATATACTTACAACTGGTAAGTTAAACCTACCTTTGCCAATTTCTTAACCCAGATTGACTCCTCCCTACCTCCTCTTATCTATTTATATCATCATATAGCAGTGTGTGCACTGCTGTGTGTCAGTCTGAAGAGTATAGAGTCAGTATAATCACATCTTAGTCGTCAGAGATGACAGCGCATTGTAGCCTTTTATGTTTGTAGTTACCTGCAGGCAGTCCATGGACTGCAGTACCCACTTACCATCAGGTGGATAGGCTCATACCATAAGGTGGACTGTTAGTTTGTCATTTCGTACTAAAAAAATATGGAGAAAATGTGCTCAAGGCATAGTGGCAAGCACTTACCTACTAAAACCTAGTTGTGGCAGAACACTCATTTAATGAGGTGAATGAATCATCATCATCATCATTACAGCCCTTCACAAGTCCACTGCATAACATAGGCCTCCCCAAAGGAACACCACAAAGCGCGGTCCTGAGCCACCTGCATCCATCGACTTCCTGCATGTCTTACCAGATCGTCACTCCATCTAGTGGGGGACCGCCCTACACTTCGTCTACCAACACGAGGCTGTCACAATTACGTTACGTTAGAAGAACCTTTCTTCTCCATCGGTTGTCAGTTCTTCGGCCCATTGCCACTTCAGCTTATTACATATAGCTTATGAAACATGCAGTATGGTAATGAAAGTGGGTGGCTCCGGGAACATAAGCTGTGTGATGGACTGTAATGATCTAGTGGCTTGGAAAAAATATCAGATATTATTTTATATATTGAGTCAGAATCTGTTTCATTCCAGATACTGCTGAAAAACAAGAACACTTTGAGATTGATGCTTTTGAAGATCGACATACGGCTTTGGAGGACGACTTGCCACTAATTGCATTTGGTTCAAAGAGTAAAGCAGATGACGATGACATAGGTAAAATAATTTATTTTAAAAAAACCTGTAATAACACCACATTAGAAATTTCTCTTACATCATGTAGTTGGAGATGTACTGTACATACTAAATTTTGTTCTTTAATTACATGTGAACAAAACCAATGATCGTTTGTGACCCAAATGACCCAAAATTATTATTTGTAGGCCATAAATTACGTTGTTTTAAGCAAGAACTGAATTCGCTGGTGGTGACCCAAGGTGTTATTAAGATAAAATAGGAAAGGGGATTCACTGATTAGTTGATAGGGCTATTAGCGTCTGGGAAAGTTGTTGTAAGTACATCTGCTAATCATGAGATCCTGGATTAGGCCAAAATCTGTTATTGGGTTTTGCCGTCAAGAAATTTTCAGTAGCAGCCTGGAGCCAGGAAATTGGCAGTGTTTCAACCCCGTGCCTTGGAAAGCACGTAAAGCCATTGTTTCTTAGTGCACCCGATCTTATTTTATTAACTACTTCTTCCATTCCTTATAGTAATATTCCTTATAGTAAACTGAAAAAAAAATCTGTTTTAGGTCATTGTCCAAAGTTACTACGTAAATATATAATAAACAATAAATAAATGCAAAACTGCAACAACTCACTGATTGCTAGCTCACTAAATACAAAATATTTCAAAGTTTAATTACATTTAATCATATGTGCCAATTTGTTCGATAACTTGTTGCCATCTTGTAGGTACTGACATAATCCCGTTGCTGTAGAAATATTGGGATTTTTGGACAGTCCCCTCTTGATGCTAACCTAACACTGCCCAAAGGATTCTGAAGAGACTGAAACGGGTGAAAATCTGAGGGTGCAAGGTCAGGACTATATCCACAGCATCACCTTATAGCGTGTTAATCCGGGTTCCACTACAGTCTGTGGAACTTGACTACCCCTTGACCCTGATCTCTTTCGCACGTTAATGTCGTAGCCAATCGACTTTTCATTACCGGTGATCAATGTTTTCAAAACTGGTTCGGTTTAATAACGTTTCAATAGAGAATCGCAAATGAGTTTCTTTCAGTGAGCTCGTGTGGTACCCAAATATAGAGCTTTTTTGTTTAGCCAGACTTTTTCAAATGGGTCAAAACTGTTTTGTGGTCAATACTCAATTCCTCGGCTATGTCGTACAACTAATATGTCGATCTTGCTCCACTTTTTCAAAAATGACATCGACTTTATCCGTATGAGGGCGACCAGAGCGAGCTGCATCTTCGTCATCAAAATTACCGACTAAAAACGCTTGAACCAACTTTGTGCTACTCTCTTACTGACACTGCATTAGGTCCATAAACGTCGTAAATTTTTTTCGCAGCCTGAGTCGCATTTTTTCTTATTTTGTAGTAAATATTCAGAATGTACATCACTTATTCTTTGTGAGATTCATTCATTTTGGCGAATAGAAAAGCAATTGAAAAATGGCGGGAAAGTGTTGCTTTACTTATTTTTACTTGTCCTATATGTATTGATATTAAAACCAACCAGATACAAACAGTATAGCCAAATAGATTTTTCTTCAATTTTATACTAACAAAATACGAAGAAACTTTTTCCCCGATCTATTAGATTATATTATTGTTCATAAAATACATCGTCGATTGCCACCAATTACATCAAAATCGATTGATGATGATTCGAAAGTTATCGTTGTCAAAATATAAAAAAAGTGTTTTTAACGTTTTTGTTTTTATAGAATATAGGTGACAAACGAGCACACAATCCACCTGATGGTAAGAGGATGCCGTGGCCCATGGACATCTACATTTTGGTTTGTAATCGAGGATAGATGTAGTGTAGATTTCTATGGGTCACAGCAACCACTTACTATCAGGTGGACTGTGTGCTCGTTTGTCACCCTTGTCCTAAGAAAAACGTCCTCGTAGGGGAAGGAAACTCTCTCTTGACGATGTGCTTGGAGCACATTAAAAGAAATCGATGATCCAACGACGAGCAGCATTTGGGTATGTCTCACGATAAAATCTAGCTGCAGCACTAGACTTGCATCTGCATTGCGCGGTGTATGTTAGCGTATTCTTGCGTGATGTACGCAGACATGGTCGCACTAAGACTAGGTCATCTTAAAGATAAAATTAAACAGGACAAATCCAAACCACAAGCAATCTAGTTCAATAAAACGAGCCAAATGTGGTCAGTACGAAATCAACACGAACGAATAGAGAAAGACGCGCAATAAACGAAGGAGCGTAATGTGCTGAACTTAATTTTGTGTGCGACATTGATAAAATAGCATCTCTATCTGTCTCGCTCAAACTACGTAAAATTACTCTCTCCTCCTTTGTCATTAACATCACTATCTGTCTCGCTCACACTTCGTCAACTCGTTCTTTACGTTTCACACAAACTGGAATCTTAAGTTACGGGCTTGAGGAAAGCCTTGGCGTACATAAAAATCATTTTAGACAGGTAAGGGAAATTAATTTACAACTGGGTTTTTTTTAAAAATCCATAATTTAACAAGTGTTATACCATTTTGGAATCCTTATTAAATGCGCCAACTTTTAAAGTTACTTGACAAACTGCTGTAGTACCATTTTTTTCAGTACAGTCGTTTAAAACTGGGGAAAGTATTAATTTTAAATACATGGTTGCGAAAAAAAGTACATTTCCTTCTAAACTGGAGCAGTTGGATACATGAATTTTGAACATTTAGCAGAAGCATTATCCAGGATTTAAAAAATAAAAAAATAAAAAAAAAATTTGTAGCTACGGGAGTTAAAAGACCGTCACAGGATGTAGATTTTCTTGACTTTTTATAAATAACTGTAATTTTTTAAATACATAGAAATTTATTTTTTTAATTTTTCTGTTAATTATTGTGACAACCTATCATCCGACTCCGATTTACGTCGATTTCTGGGACATCCTTAAGGGTATTTTTGAAACGCTCCCGAAAGAGAAGACAGGCGATAGTACCAACGATATCTTTGGACTTGGGACCAAAAGAAAATGGATCCAAATGAAAAAAAAATCATTTCACAATCTCAAACAAATCACATCGATTTCACAATCAAATGAAACAATAATGTCATAAAAAATTCATCAAAACACTGAAAAATAAAACCAGCAGTGAAAATTAAAATGATACCAACTGATTATAGGGTCAATAAATGCGCGGACGCTGAACTCTTTTGTCTACTGCCTATCTTTTATGACTGCGGGCCGCGTGTATTCGACGTCGCGCGTGTTTGGCGTCGCGCGTTTAAAAAATAAAAGTAAAGTAAAGTTACAGCCAATATAAATCCCACTGCTGGGCACACGCCTCCCCTAATTTCTGAGAGGGTTTTAGGGCAAGGAAGTGTCCGCCGCGCTGCCCCAATGCGTTTTGGCGAACTTCACATGTCTTCGAAATATATTTCTTTCTTATTCCTCAGACATGCAGGTTTCCTCACGATGTTTTCCTTCACCGCCGAGCACGTGGTAAATCAGCACTAAAAATTACAATTAACAATTCCATTGGTGCCGGCGGGGATCGAACGCGGGCTACTCGCGTCTTATATATTTACAGCGAGCGTTAACCATCTGAGCTACCACGGCTCTGTGGGACGTACCGTTATTCTTTCTAATATCTAGCGATGTTATTTTTAAATTTAATTCATCATTGACTCCTTATCAGCTGATGTTAGGTATTTGAAATTTCACTGCTGATTTTATGTTTAAGTATTTTCATGATTTTTTATGAAATTATCGTTTCATTTAGCTCTACTATAATGATAGAGCGTGAATGAAGCTAATTAAACGTTGTAAAAAAACTTTCCTTTTGGTCCCATCATGAAAGGTATTAAATGTGTATTAAAACCCACGGGATTAAACGTGATGATGAATGCTCCTATGACTTACACGCAACCTTCAATACATTTGTATGTGTAACAGCGATTTTTAGAATAGATTATTCTTTAACTAGGTAGTAACTTAGACTATATTATTAATATCTACAAAAAATACTGGTCAAGATGCATGTATGTATAACACTCTTTCTGTGTAGGATTCGAACCAGCTATTATTAGATTATATAAATATTTAAACACTCACGCCTCTCACCCAGAGGGTAGACAGAGACTACAGACTTCCATTACAGACATCCTGGCATACCTCTCGCCTCTTCCACATCCATATACCTACGCATACATGCTCGTTGGTTAAGGGTACTCTTAATTTGGCCCATTTTTAGTAAATCGCCAATTTGGTCGACAAACTTTCGCCTAGGACGTCCCTTTCCGACTCTTTTATTCATTTCTGCAACATATATTTGCTTTGTCAGTCTTTCCTCATTTATTCTTTCTACATGACCAAACCACCGAAGCATTCCTTTCTTAATCCTGGTCACCGCATCATCTTGCAAACCACACTCTTTTATTACAGTTTCTCACCCTAGATTAATGTTATTATAACACGGTTAGAAGAAAGTCATCAAAGAGACATTATCCAGAGTAATTGGCTAAAATACTTTATATCTTACAACATTAAATGAGTGTAATTATATAAAATATTATAATTTCTCTATATTTCCCTGGTAAGGCATAAATTCCGCCCGCTGTAAATCGTCTAAGGTATCTTACAATAGATACAATGTCTGAGAATAAATAAAATGTTTCATTCATTTGTATTTCAGAACAACCCTGCATACAAACAAATAATTTTTCAAAACCGTGTGAGAAAAAGATTAAATCAAAGCCTAAACTGAAAAGAGATACTGAACCAGTTATGAAAAAAGAGAAGCTTCCTGCAAAAATGATGAAAAAGAAAATTTTGAATCAGAGTGTAAATAAACTTAGGAAAAACACATCTGAGGCATCAACAAAATTCAGTTTTGAATGTGATGATTGTAGAAATTTTTTTTTAACAAAAGATATTCTCGCCGACCACATATCAAACAGTCATAAGACGCAAAAGAGCTCAAATGCAGTTCAGACACAAGTTGAACAAAGTCCGATATTACAACTAATGGATATATATAACTGTAATATTTGCGAATTTAAAACATTTAAAAAACGTTTCATTTTAGCACATCTTAAAGCGCACGTTGCTAAGCAAATGTATTGTTGTAATAATTGTGATTATAAATGTATTACAAAAAGTAAGTTGCAAAGGCATATGAAAATACACACCGGAGAAAAACCTTTTTCTTGTAATATCTGTGACTTTAGATGTAGTATGAAAAGTAATTTGCAATCACATATGAAAAAACACACCGGTGAAAAGCCTTTTTCGTGTAGTATCTGTGAATTTAGAAGTAATTTTAAAAGTAATTTGCAAAAACATATTAAAACACACATCGGTGAAAAACTTTTTTCATGTAGTATCTGTAAATATAGATGTAATTTTAAAAGTAGTTTGCAAACACATATGAAAACACACACAGGTGAAAAACCTTTTTCGTGTAATATCTGTGAATTTAGATGTTATACAAAAGGTAATTTGCAAAGACATACAAAAATACACACCGGAGAAAAACCTTTTTCGTGTAATATCTGTACATTTAGAAGTATTAGAAAGAGTTATTTGCAAACACATATGAAAATACACACCGGTGAAAAACCTTTTTCGTGTAGTATATGTGCATATAGGTGTATTACAAAAAGTAATTTGAAAAAACATATGAAAATACACACCGGTGAAAAACCTTTTTCATGTAATATCTGTGAATATAGATGTAGTAGAAAATGTAATTTGCAAATGCATATGAAAATACACACCGGTGAAGAACCTTTTTCGTATAATATCTGTGAATTTAGATTTAATTTTCAAAGTAATTTGCAAACATATGAAAATACACACCGGAAAAAAACCTTTTTCGTATAATATCTGTGAATATAGATGTAATACAAAAAACTTTTTCGTGTTATATGTATGTGTGAATTTAGATGTAATTTAAAAAGCAATTTACAAAAGCATTTGAAAATAGCCACTGGAGCAAAACCATTTTCGTGAGCTATCTGTAGAATATGTACGATATTATGTAAACGTGTTTTATATAAATATAAAAGTGTACCAGATAAAAATATTTTTGTTGTGAATTTCTCATGTAATTATAGAACGATCAGTAAACCTTTCTTATCATCAAACTTAATGCAAAAAAGTTAAAAAAAATTAAAAAAAAATAAAAAATAATAAGTAAGAAAAAAAGGCGGTTCTTGCTATCATTCAAGGGCTTATGGCGGTCCAATGATGTAGCTACAGGGAATAGTGATTCCGGACTAGCAGAAACAATAAGAGAGTTTTGAAGGGCATGTTACCGGACCAAAACTGTTTAGTGTTGCAGGGTTCAAAGGAACCGGCCCAATACTAATTGCCTGAAGGGTCGATGTAGACTAGACCAGAGCTGATTTTTAACACCTGAAGGTTCAATATAGACCGTACCAGAACGTATTGTGGAATGTGTAAAAGTTTATGACTTTTGTCATTCAATTTTAAGTGCTGATTTATCAGTTTTGTTGTCAATTTTAAGTGCTGATTTACCACAAGCTCGGCGATGAAGCAAGACATCGTGAGGAAACCTGCATGTCTGAGGAGTAATTTCGAAGACATGTGAAGTTCGCCAACATGCACTGGGGCAGCGTGGCGGACACTTCCTTGCCCTAAAACCCTCTCAGAAATGGGGAGGGGAGGCCTGTGCCCAGCAGTGGGACGTATATAGGCTGTAACTATATATATATATATATATATATATATATATATATTTTAAGCTAGTTATATAGCAATTAAAAAAATCTCTTTCTAAAACATCCCAAGTCTTTGTTCATTAAAACATTTTACCTACATTCGGTTTTGTAATGGAACATCTGCATGTTTTAGCCTATGATTTATGAGATGTGCGTAGTATATAATATGACGGAACCACCATAAAAATAAGTTCTATGGTTAGCCCTGAAAAATGACGAACCAAGAAACATCTGAGATGAAAGGCATAAATAAGTTAGAAAACCTGGGGTACTTTTACCCACAGACATTGTGTCGATGTTATTATATATTTATTATTATTATATATTTTATCGATGTTATTATTATACAACGTATGGCTACAATGGTGACTTTAATTTAACATACGGATGGGGCTAGTGACCATTAATCATATTCATTTTGGTAAGTTAAAATTACTCGTAAATTGAAAAATTATTTTTTTTTCAAACAAACTAAATATTAAGGAAGTAACTAAAATTGGGATAACCCTTGCGAAAATTCATTCATGAAAATACTTACCTAGCTGGTTTACGTTAACTCGAAGCGCCAACGCAGCGTTTAGCGGGCTGGCAACCGCGCAAAGTGTCTTGTTTATCAAAGAAACTTAGCGGCATCGGCGTGGCGGCGCGCGTCGTTAGTGGAGATCATTACCTACAGTGGAGATCATGGGCATACAATTTAGAACATTATTTTCAGAACAAATTGATATCTTTTTGTGCTGCCATCTTTAGTGTGGACACATAAACTAGACTTACTTTTATTCGAACTAGAGGGCACGTTTATATATTAGGTCTATACATACGAAGCAATCCATGTTCTATGCGCGGTGCACTACGCAGTTAATGGCGGTTACTGGTAGTAAGGCTTAAATTAATATCAATATCTATTTGATATTATTCCGATATCTCGTGCATTTATGTGTTTTATTTTAATAAGTTTGTGATCTACTTCATTTCTTTTGTATTTAATCTGCTTAAAATGTCACGAAAGGAATGTGTTTTTAAATGTGACAAATTTGGTAAGTACTTTTGTAATATTCGCATAGTTTCCGGTTTTTATTCACTTGTAAACAGCTAATATGTAAGAAATTGAAAGTTCAAGGCGTGGGCTGTAATCATCAAAAGTCCACTATGCATAGGCTGCCCACGCATTGCCTCGTAGGTACTATTTGCCATAGCTGCCACGCTTGGCAGGCGGGTTATTCTGCCAAGCCTATCTCCTGTTTCAGTTTCCGTCTCTCGCCTCGAAATTAATGATTATATTTTATCATTTCAGATATACCCGTCACTTGAAAGGTTTCAGCTATGGACGAGGATAGCTGGAAAATATTTGATAAATAAAACTGATCTTGATATTTATCGTAATTACCGGATTTGTCATCGGCACTTCGAAGATCGTTTTATATATCCTCGGACCAAAAGACTTGCTAAAACAGCATACCCCAGTCTTAACCTTGGTAAGTCTTTATTAAAAGTTTTCTCACTGTCAATTTAACTAGCAATTGTTTTAACAGTGTAGACTAAAGAATATAACAGTTTTAATATTCGTAAAGATGATCAAACTTTTAGTTTTTACTTATTATGGGTATGTCAGTGTATAGCTTGCCTACAATAACTACCCCACCCAGTGGTAAGTGGTTATAAAGCCCTAGCGGTGGCGGCCCTAACAAAATTTTAGGTGGAGCGGGATCTCATAGTGACACCCCTCTAAATACAAAACCTTAGTGTTCCTCTACTATGACGTGATTTTAAATAGTATTATATGTATCAAATATCTACAGGTGTATATGTTTAAGCACAGTTGTGTCTGTTGCTCTTGCCATAGCAGTTGTTCTGCTTATTCGCATTGCTGCTCTCTGTTATTGTTGCTCTCAGCAATGGCACTATGCTTGCCTTGCTGCGTTCACTAGTTGTACAGATTATTTCTCATAATAAGAGTTAATAATCTTGTTTGACAACTTTTATTTAAACTGTTGTTCTGCAGACAGTGTCAAAAAAGATAAACTAACTGAACTTCCAACAACAAACTTGATGAAAAGTCCAGATAGCCAGCTTTCTGGTTTATATTTATTATAGCAATAGAATTTTCTATGGAAAAGATTCCAAGATATGACAATCTTTCCTGACACATAGTAGAAACATAGGTAAATTTTAATTGTTTTAATGTAATATAAGTATGTTTCCATTTAGCGACAGTAACAGTACAGGTATAGTCAGCATGATACAAAGTACTGTCTACACTTTTGAAAAAATATCCTGCCAATCATTATTTTTAATAAGTCTGAGAACTTTATGTGGCTCTGCTGATTTAAGATCTTTAAATAATGGGTTCAGGCTCATAAGTTCCTGAACCAATTTACAACGAGACAAATCACATTATGCCCATCTGTTGCAAATCAACACAGGCATTTTGATCTTTCAGGAATTATTTTTATTTTGTATAAAAATGAACACATATCATAGAATTTTGATAGTTTAAGTCAAGTAACCAACACACTTTTAATTGTATCAATCACAAGGTGAAAACATTCCTTTTAAACAATTCTTTAGGATCAGTCGGTGTCTCACCTATGGCTTTGTACACTAATAATATTTTCTTCCTTCGGGATCAGCTGGCTTTAGAATTGGATCTATCTGTTATTAGAGCAGATGAAAAGGCTTGATACTGTTTCAAAATTCTGAAAAAATTTTCAAGCAATACAACACCTTTGGTAAATCTGTAGATTCAAACTATCATATATAATAGCATAGATTTTTTTGTGCGAGCTGCTATGCAGGTCTAGAAAGACTATTATCACTGCAACCTAAAAGATCTTTTGTAATCGCTGCTATGGCTATAGTTTACTGCTAAGCATTATGTCTTCAATGAATGGGAGTTGCTTAACTGTGAGCAATTTCACTTCTTATAGGCGAAGTAAGTAGTAATATATGTAGCAGTGAATAAAACAAGCCCAATAAAGAAGGTTTTATGTGTTTTTATGTTCAATTTATTTTCTTATTTTAAATTATAGGGGGGACGAAACGAGCATGCGGCTCACCTGATGGTTAGTGACTACAGCCGCCCATGAAGGACTACAACACCATGGGAATTGCAGATGCATTGCCTGCCTTTAAAAAATAAAGTAGGCTCTTTTCTTGAAAGTCCCAAGTTGTATCGGTCCAGAAAATTCTCTGGTGGTAATATAATATTAATAAATTCTTAATTACTGTAAGTACATATATTCTATTTGATACCGGTAAGTTTGTTATAAGTTAAAGATATAGTGGTTGGAATTTACTTTAATAATAAGTATGACATTAGGATGTGCTGAGTATATTTTCATAGACGAAACAAGTAAAAAGGCTATATATCTAAACCTGGCTCATAATGCACAGGGTAAAAAGCATGTGGGGTACGCAGCTGACCGAAATGGTTGTACCTTGCGTTCGTAGCATCTGAAGTAACTAGGACTCTGATAAAGCGGTTAAAACTCTTGCAGATATAACTTAAAAATTTTGTTATCACTGGTCCGCAAGCCATGCAGTATGAATGCTACTTTATTGGACTGCACACCACAGCACCGCGCCTTCTCCAAAAGCATTCTAATAGCATATTGCATTATATACATTACAGTGGAAACTCGATTAACCGGACTAATTGTTGCCGTTAGGGATTCGGATAATCGAAAATCCGGATAATCGAATGTATGAAGAAAAGCGGGTTTTGTGCATTTGTGGTACATATGTACATACATAATGTTATGTGTTTATTAAAAACAACAATATCAACGAAAATCAATGTTTAATAAGAAATTATTAAGAGATACATTTTTCATTATACAATGTATGCACTTATTTG